CACGCACAGCTCTCAAATGCCAAGTGACAACAGCAGAAAGCCCGGCTGTCTCAGTGATGCAAGAGCCAGCAGACATCTGGGAATGTCGGAGTTTGAGAGGGGGGCTAAAGGGAGAAGGGCACATGTGGAGGTTTGGTGGGAAGGAAGGGCGGAGGGGAGGTCTTGGGGGGCGTTTGGAGGTTGGAGCAGAGCATGATCAGTTGAAACAGGGACATGTGTGAATAAAAAGTGGTTCCCCTGACCCGGGGAGAGTGTGGACGATGCAGTCTGTCAGGTTTCCAATCTGTCAGCAGAGTGCCTCTGTTCCCCCCAGGAAGCACAACACAAGAGGCCCTGGCTTATTTTGCGCTCTCATCCACTCTCATACTACGTCCTCATGCACCCTCTTGTCCCCAGCAGTGCACTTCACTGCACAGTCATTTAGCCACAGGGAGTAAACATCGATTGTTGTGTTTGTCGCTTTCATGTAAAATAGCATCTAAAGGTTTGGGTTATACAGAGTATGAGGATATAGAGTGTGTCAAATATTTGCTTGAGGCGATCACATGATTCATGATATTATTTTGGGATCAACCTAAAACCATTAGACATGATTGTAGTGTCAAACTGACTTAACATGAAATGGATTCATTGTAAAGTGGAGCTGCATTGTCACCTGCTGGAAGAAATGATGCATTACACCAAGGATAGTCCAACAACTGGTATTTTTTTCAACCTCAAAGGCTTCTTGTATTCACTCATTCATAATGTGAAATAGTTTCATTACGAGAGCAATAATGTATAATTGTGGGGCACACAAAAAAGAGTTAATGAGACCCCTTAAAGTCACAGTACACTTCAGACCTATTCAAATTACAGTGGGAAGAAGGTGGGACAAATCTCAACTCAGCTTTAAATCGTCCACAAATTAAGAAATAGCAAAACTAAATCACAATAAAAGATACTCATAGTTTCTGCCATTAAAGATAAATCAATAGGATTTAATAAATCAAAGGACAATAATTCAGTTAACACACGTTTAGCTCATTCATTAATTGTAATTATCACCTGGTTTCTTTCTAATCACCTGGCAGTGTTAAATGCTTAATTTTTAATTGGGCAAACTCATAAAAAAAATGCATAAAATGGTAATTAAAGCTACTATGAGGAGTTTTTTTTTGGTTTGTTTATTTTTTGGAGTTTATGAATTATACTGAAATTCCTATTGATGTCTTTCCATGGTATCAAAAAGCATACAAGGCCATAAGTGACAAGTTTGACGATTTTTATATTCCAGTCTTTGATGCCTGACACTGGTGTAAGGTGGTTTGGTGTCAGCTGAGTGGCTACAGAGACAGACCTTTTTTTTATTTTATTTTATTTTTTTAACAATATTTAGAAGTGGTACAGCTGACTGTCAAAAGTCAGCAAGATTAAATTGTTTCGTCAAAACTCACAAATTAAGCAAGTAGAGGACGACTGCTTTGTCTGCAGGTTGTACCAAAATTGACAATAATGTAAAGTTCGCTGTAGAAGCTTAAAATATGAATAGCAAGAGTAAGGAGTCAGACACATGCAAAGGTTATGGTTTCACATCTCCCTGTAGACAATATGGTAAAACATTTTGTATCCGGTAACTTCAGTAAACAACATGGAGTATAGCTTTAAGATTAGAGAGCTCAAACCTTTGGATTTGTGGTAAATAACTGCAGATTACCGTAGTTAACAGCAGAGACAAAAAGACAAAGAAGAAGAAAAGGAGGGGATATTAGGAAAGACATCAACCAAATTGAAAAAAACAGTCACAGAGCATCCACTAGCAGAAACAAGGAATGTGCTGTGGCAGAGTAACAGGACTGGCTGGGTGTAATGAAAACACCAATAATAAAGTGACAGGAGGGACCTTGTGCAGATCTTGCTGTTGCTGTTAAGAATGCTATTGGAAAAATAACGCTAACACTTTGACTTTACCTCGAATGAAAATGCTACACTGGAAAAGCTCTAGGACAGTATAGGAAGCCATATGAACTCTTAAGTGTGAATAAAGCTGCCATGGAAGCTATATTGTCTTTCTATATTTGCATACACAAATACACGTTAATCATAGTTTCAGGTATAGGTAAATTTAGAGTGAAAATCAGATCTGATGACTGGCATGTGACTACAGTAAGCTTGTTTTTAATTTAAACTCAGGAATGCCCTTCTGAGAATATCTCTCACATGATCGAGGTGGAGATCCCCATAACAGTTTGACCCTGCGTAATTCTAGACGCTCCGAACCTCATACCAACACATTGAACTTTGTATACACACTGTAATATGCAAAAGCCAACAGAGAGAGCACCGTATCGTCATATGATGATAGGCTCTTATTTTAGACAAGACTTGAATCACAAGGTTCAGGGTGTGATCCAAAGACTTAACTCACTTGTCTTCTTGTTGCTATGTCAGGGTCTCTTCGTGAAATATAAACCAAGTCACATGCTATCCTCTAGTTTTTCTTTCTATATTGAAATTAAATAGTTTAATTCCAATCCAAGGCCTCTGGTTTAACTTCTTTTGCTCTGAAAATAACAAAAAGTGTGTATGGATGAGGCAAATCGTATTATTTTCAGAGTTAATGCGTCATCCATTATTCAGAATCGTTTTATTCTTTGTGTTTTTAATATTGTCCAACAGATAGAAAAAAGAGGTTAGATAGCAATTTGAAGTTCTTGCAGGATTTGTGGATATTAAAGTTGGCCAGCTGATACAGCCTCACTGCAATCTAGATTAGTAAAAGCAACACTATCCCTGTATCTAGTGCAGCACTGCATAATTTATAACCCCTGTGTTGGCACGAGATTCAGTCAATATAACAAGCAGCCTCGCACCTGGATGACCCCAGCTGATCAAGATTCAGTCCTTGTTCCTCACTGTCCTCCTGTCACCTCTACTTTTTTTCAGCACACACTCCACAATATCTGTACCAGGTTTGGACTGTGCCCGCTAGGAGACATGCACCGTAAAGAGTAGCCCTCTGCTGTGCCAACATTGGCTTTTGAACAGATTGTAAAAGGTGCCAGCGATGGATCGGAGCCAGCTTACAAAAGGTCAGCATACCCCAGACAGGATCAAGTGACTTCTGTTGAAGTGCAGTGTCACTTTAACAGCTGCATTATCACACACAGTGACACAGGGAGGCATCTCCTGTTTGTTGTGCATGAGCAGATTACATCCACTAAAAGTGAAATATTTGATAAAAGTCGGTTAACAAAAGTACTCAAAATCTGACTCATTGTTTCAATGTTTTTTCCTTTTTCTCAGGTTTGACATGGCTGCCATCTCTCACGTGACTGTAAGTAAACACAGCTGACAGGTCAATCACTTGTGACAACACGTGGATTCATACACAATTATATAATTCCAGCACTGCTGTGGTATTAAACACAGAATATCTTAGATGACATACATAAACCTACTTTCAGCTGGTTTTGGATCTTTTCATTCCTATTTTGCAAAATGATCAACGTCTCAGAGCAACGCACAAGTATTATATAAATGTCACTGTGGGTCTAAATCAAAATTGGGAACAATATTAACCTTCACAATTTTAAAAGCGCTGTCAAACAGTTCTTACTTCGAATTGTTTGGGGTTACATACAAAATTAGTTAGAGGTTTAAAGAGATGCTCTCTACTTTCTTAGAAGGATAATGTTTGACTTTTTGGAAAATTTCTAAGGAACTCTGTTGAATGGGTACAAACATTTCAGGGCCACTACTCCCTTTGTCATATGAATATCTTTTATTGGATGAAAAAAAGCAAAGAAAAAGAAGTGTTACAGTTTCCAATGCCCAACAAGGACAGTCACTGCATTCAGAAACACACTTTGTTCCATGGTTAGTAGATTTTTAAGTGATTTTGGGCCCATAAAACACAGCAAATATTCACACATCAGACACGCAAAAGCACTCAACAAGGGAATTTTCTTCTGAATTTGAAAAGTGGTCATAGAAATTTGGGAGTTATTGGTTCTCAGTCTTGAAAAACCACCACAGAGATTTGTTAAAACATTGAAGGGCCAAAAATAAAAATGAAAGTAAAGAGTAAAACATAATCCTACTGCACAGGGTCACGCCTATAGACTTTTTTATTGCCCACTTAGGACACTGACTTATGCAGGGGTGGCTTTTCTGTGCACACACACTCACACACACACACACACACACACACAGACACACAAAAACACACTTGGACATTTAAACTTTTCCACTAATTATAACTACATGCAGGCTAATTTAAAAGCAGCTTAAAAATGTTCCTTTACAAAATTCTTCATTTTAGGATACAACACAACAAGGGCTGCTCAGCTGATGCCAACCCTTTCATACTGGTTTCAGGCATTAAAGATTATAATATAAAAATCCCCGGCCTTGTTGCTGATGGTTTTGTTTGCTCTTAAAATTCATGGAAAGGCATTTATTTGAATTTCAATTTATTTCAAAGGCATCAAAAAACTTCTCACTGGAGCTTTAGATAACATCTTACAGTATCCATAATGAAAATTTGGTATGTTTTAATATTAAAAAACATGATAAGAGCCTGTTATAACACAGCTCTCGGGGTTAATTTCAACAAAGTCTCACCTCTTATAGGGCATACAGCTAATCATAGATGAGAGTTTTGGGCTGGCCAATCAGAATTTAAGGTGGGCTCATCCTCTCCCTATTTTCACTTTACATACTCCCATCTTGATGTTTTAAAAGTATAACAAATATGCTCAATCTTTGTCAACATCGCTTTTCTAGAGGAGTTAAAAGCCAAAAATCGAAACCACGGACTCACTCTGCCGCAAGTCAGAAATTCACAGCTAAACGTGTAATCAACCAAACACACACGCTACAGGTGTACTTTTGCTGTTGCACCCACAGTGGTCTCACCCTTTAGAAATACAGTACAAAAACATAGAAGTTCAAATAAATTGACTGTGATTTACTCATGTTTTAAAATGCACACATAGCAGTTTTGTCTTCCCTTAACTTTATCCCACCATCCTCTTGTCTGTCGTCACTCGATGTCTCTTCCACTGTGAGAACCAACAGCACAATGAAAATATGTTTAGTGCAATGAATGATGGTAAATCATACAGGAAGACGATGTAGAAGAATCCAGCCACGAAGATGATGCAGATAATAAGTCTGGTGATGTGACTGAGGATGTGCAACATACCCCACCATTCAAGACGGTTAGACTCTTTGGATTTCTCTGAGGAGGAGCTCTGAACTCGGTGAGCTGGGTGGCTGGCTGATTGATTCCAGCTCTCCCACTCCTCTGTTGGTCTGATGGCCTCCTTAAAGAGGACTGATCTTTCCTTCATCTGAGGGTAGTTTTCTTGATCCTTGGGAGAGCTTTGGGCTGGGTCAGTCAATGACTGCCAACTCTTAGCAGCCAAGATGGGATTGAGATCTTGACTCAGATGAGTACTTGAATTCGAATCTGTCTGCGCCTGTGAATCGTCTAAGATAAGGTGAGTTTGTTCTGCCGTTGAGAGTGGCTCTTTCGTTTCTCTGGAGAAGCAATCATTGCTTTTAAATGTGGAGGTTTGTTCTAAGCCTTGGCAGACGCTTAAACTTGGATCTGTTGGTGATTCTATCAGGGAAAACACGCCCGAATCAAAAGCATCATCTGAGTCTTTCTCAAAGAGGAGATGACAGTTCTGCGTCATATCCAGCAAATCTATCTGCTCACCCTCCATTTCATCAGTTATTCCTGTGTCTCTCTTACAAACCTGCACCTTCCAATCAAACACCTCCTCCCAAATCGTTTGCACCAAATCTTCTCCAAATCTTTCCACTATCAATCCTGATTCTATCACTTCAAGCGCCTCAGTACTTTCTGCTTTAATAGGCTCTTTTGTTCCCTCTGACAATTTTTTACATTCAACACGTGGAGAGCTCTCAACTTCTGCTGACAACTCTTGTTCTTCCAATCCGGCTGGTGCATTCTTCCTCTCCCCCTGAGGGTTCTCCACATTACCCATCAACTCCCCCTGCGCTTCTATTTTCAGCTTCCCAATACTCTCCCTCTCATCTTTGTCTCCCTGACTCATATCTTCCTCTATTATTTCTAATAACTCAGGCTGGCGTTGAAGTTCTGTTGAATTGTCTTCCCTCGCAACACTCTCCTTTGCCATAACTTCTCTTCTTGTTTCATTGCCTCCATCCTCTTTCTGACCCCTCAAATCATCCTGTGAAAAGTTCCATTTCATCTCTACCACCTCAATTGGAAAAGTTCTCAGAGTATAATGGTCACAAAAGACCTCTATTATTTCCTTTGGTTCATCTGTCTGTGCTGAGGGTGTTATATCAAATGGCTTCCCAATGATTTCATCGCAGCTCAAACTTAGTCCTTCGTCCTCCTGATTTGGGATGAATGCATATTCGTCAGTTTCAGATTTCAATCCAACATTTTCCAGATCGCACGGCTCTTCCCTTGCTTGCATCGGCCTTGACTGTCTTCTATACACTTCTGCTTTTATTGATGTGCTGTGAGAATTTAGCTTTAAAGCCTTGTCAACGTGCTGACATGCTTCCACATTTGATACCCCACTATTTTCAGTTCCTGCACCCACTGCTCTCTTTGTTTCTCCATCTGTACGATGGGACGTTTCCACCCTTGTCTTTTCAAATACTCCATCCTTCTCTGATTCATCCAATCTGAACTCACTTCTTTGGCTTTGCTTGAGATTGTCCTCACAGGTTTGGTTTGGATTGAGTTCATCTGGATGCGACTGAGCAGGTCTTGTTTCATTTTCATCGCCCTCTTTCCTCTGTAATGGATTTTCTCTGTTTTGGTTCAGCCTGAATTCCTCATGATGCTTTTCATCTGCATACCTCTGGGAGATTTCACACCCTTCAGTTTCCTGTGGCCTAAATACCTCCTTCTGTGTGGAAACACTATTTGCTGTAGAGTTATTCATGATCCCTTTCTCCTCTCCCTGTCTGGATGTTGGAAAGACAAACCTCTCCCCGTCCTTTGTCCCTTGTTTGATTGTCCCCCGAAATGCCAGTGTGTCATCCATCGCATTGTCTGCAGTACCTGTAACCTCGCTCTCCCCGCTGTAAGAAAGACCTCCATCTAGCTTTGCTCCCTGTGAGATCCTATCAACGGCGCTGGCATTCGGAGACTCTGGCGTTTCTGTCAAGTCTGTTGTCACTGACTCCCCAGAGCTTGTTACAAAGTCATCTGTGTCTTCTGGAAGGGGCACATCTCTTCCTTTGCCTTCTGCACTTCCTATTATTCCTTCCTTTTCCCGCTCCCACTTCGCATGCTCGTGACACTCAGTTGAACCGTCAACAGATCCCTCGGACACAAGCGTCGCCCCCTTGAGGCTAAATTCCTGTGGCATGTCTGTTACTGAGTTTGTCTGTGACCTTTGGGGTGCCTCTTGCGTCGCTGGTTTGTCATCTCTCCGGCTGCTGACACATGCCTCTGCTGGCTGGTGGTCTTCGACGTTCAAGGCAGCGAAAGCCAAAGGTGTTTGGAAAGAGTCTGACAGCAGCTGACAGACAGCTGAGGTGTGCGAATTTAAGGTGGTGGGTGGATCCTTTCCCCCCCTGAAATTCTCACTCTTGACTGCAAATTGGGCCTTGGGCTTTTTATCATTTGAGGGAGACACTGAAGTAGCTGTCTGCAGCCATTCTGACTCTGGAACACCAGAGTGGTCGGTACAACTCGCCCCGTTAAGGAATGCCTGCCATACTTCGCACACAGAGGATCCTTTATCAGTGGTATCATCTGTGCCATTATGGAAGGTCTCCCACATTTCACCAACAGAAGGTGCTTCATTTTTATCTTCCACTGATGCTTTTGACAAGGTGATTTTAGTTCCTCCAGTCCAGATGTCATCCACATCAGCAGACCCCCACTTTTGGATTTTGTCATCATTCCAGTCCAGTGTCAGCAGAGGAATCTGATGGTAGGTGAGCACCTGTGGACTCTCACTGGATCGCTTCTTTTGGCGCTTATGGAGAATGCTGGCAGAGTCGCACCATGGAGATGCCCAGCGCTGAGAGAGTTCCTGGCCTTCAGCTGAGTCATGTGAATAATAAGCCTTTGGTACTTGCTGTCTTCTCTGGGCAAGCCGTTCCTGCACACGTGCCAAACGCGCTGCTCTGTGTCTGCGTTTTATGCTATCCACCTGTCAAAAAGGCCAAATGGTCAAAAGGTCAAGCCAAGTGTTAATGCTTGAACTACTTGAACTATAACCAGAGGCTACCAGCCCAGCAGTTTTGGACCCTTCCAAAACATAAATCACTCTAAATCCTGGCTTTATGACAAAAACTGAGTGTAATGGCCTGTTCACTGGGTATTCTTTGATAGCTAACATTGCTGTGATGATGCAATGGATTGAAACGCTGCTGCAACCTCAGCACACAAGCCTATTTTTGTTTACATCATCAACTTTGCTTCACGTGTTCTGCAGGTTGCATTTATTATTAATAGTTAGCACACTGGTGATCTCAGACATGCTCTCAAGTGTCAGGTCAGCTGACTTTCCATAGACATCTGGGACTCCTTGTGCACTGTGCAGTATGCATCTTTGACTCAGCTATCATGTTTTTGCAGACAGAGGAAACATGCTTCCTTCGAGTGTGCTTAACAGTTTCTCTCTGCAGCTGAAAACAGGCAGTTTGAACTTTTAGTGCTTCATTTTCAGCAAGATAATAAATGAACCTCACCAAAGCTTTGTGTACTCCATGATTTTGTACTGATTGTATCTTTGCACCGTCTTTTGTCTTTATGTCCGCCTCCTGTGCTCTATGTGCAGCCCCTCCCTCTGCAAAAAACACAAACAGGGTCAAAGTTTGCTTGCACACTTACACACACACACACACACACACACACACACACACACACACACACACACACACACACACACACACACACACACACATCTACGCATGCACACAAACATACAGTATAAACAAGATGTGTGCACACCTGCAAGAACTGTTGATGTGTAACTGGTCTCCAAGGCCTTTTCCTGTGCACTTCCCCTCCTGTGGTTCAAAACAAAGTAGCAATAACATTACATAAGCTCACAGCTATGGTTTACAGCTATGAATCACACTCTGTTCTAGTGTTTCTCAGCTTTTGATTTTGTGCTCTGCTGTCTTTTCCGACATGTTTTCAACGTGTTTAATAACTCTTTGACAAAGCATTGCTAATGTTTTATTGAGAAGTGTCTCATTTTAGAGTTTAACACAGCATTTTAGGCTTTGTGATGAGTGTTTGTGCGTATTCCCTTCTGTGAGTTTGATAGAAATCTTTAATTCGACAGGATTTCTTGACATTTTCATATCTTCTTTTATGTTAATGCATACATGTGGGGAAAAAAAAAAGGAGCTGTGAGCTTAAAATAGGCGATTTGGGTAACAGTGTCCAAGAGGATAAAATGGGCATATCCAGCATCCCCTGGCATTTCAGGATGTCATGGAATCCCAGCAGACACCTGACCTTAAATGGGCAAAAATATGAGTTCTTGAGTCTGAACATCAACAAGTGAAAGTTACATAACATCTTACTTTACACACACACTCACACTCACACAAGGCCCTGCTGGATGGAAACATTAGCTGCTGCTTCATGCAGTATGGAGTAACAGACTCCGACACTGTGTCAGGTTTCAAACTCTGCTCCTGCACAGCAGTTATTTGGGATGTTTTCTTCAGCCCCAGTAAGAACCCAAAACAGATTACCTCCTGTAGAATAATTGAACTTCTCTGCTAAGTTTGCACTGACTGAATACACTCTGATTACTGTGCAAAGGCAGCTTTTGTTGATGTACAAGGAGGACATGACTTACATCCATTGAGCTATGTTTAAAAAAAGATTGGAGGTTCTCTGACCGGTTAGCTCTGAGACAGCTCCTCTTGCTCCTGTAGCTGCTACTCTCCTCTTGCACTTGAGGCCCCTGCTCCTGTACATGTCCCCTCTGGTGGCAGAACAGCACATAGTTCATATTATGGTTGTTCGCCCAAAAAGTTCCCACTGAAGTTTCGTAGCGCAGACAGAACTCCACTCTGGTCCCTTCTTTCTCAAAAGAAGGAATCAGATGATACTGAAATGTGAACCTGTCTGTTTTTCTATCACTGGATCCAGGCACGTATTCCGCCAGCAGGTCAATGTAGCTCGTCCAGCGATCAAAGGTAATCCGGGCGTAAACTGACTTACTGTAGGAGAGGTTGACCACCCTGATGATGCCACGGAGCGTGGTGGTTCCCGGAAGTAGCTCGATGCTTTCCAGCTCGACCATCTGTGCTTGCAGCCTGTGGTCCAGCTCTTCAGCGCATGAGGGGACTGCGAACAGACTTGACATGTAAAACTCTTCTGACGCAAGAGTCCCCTCACTCTCAGGGACAGGGGTGACCTCTGACCCTGTCACCTCAACATCGTCAAACTCCTTAACTGAAACCAGGTCAAGGCCAAATGCATCTGCGAAGGACACCTTCCTACGACTGACCGAGGGGGGTTCTGGTTCAGAGTCCTCATCTGTTTCCTCATCTGAGGCGTCGATTCCTTCCTCTTCCTGTCGGCCACTTTTTTCCTGTTCCTGCTCCTTCAGTATCAGCACTTCTTCAAAGGGCTGCATGTACAGAGCCTCCATAACGTGGGATGGTGTGAGGGGCAGCTGTCTGCCCGTCTTGCTGTCTGTCTGGCTCGGAGGGTGGCACAGAGCAGAGTGCCCCCAGCCTGGCTGCTCTGATACTGTAGAGGCAGAGCACGGAGAGGACGTGACTTGACAGATGGAGTTTGGTTACAGCTGAACACAGTGAGTCTGAGCCAGGCCTATTAATAGGACACGAATAACGAGAGCAGGGAAGGCCAGTTATCCCTTCAGTCATCCTCACACAATATGGTTGCTATTTACGAAATGAATGACTGAGAATCTAGATTTCATTGAGCACCAGGGATTTACTTTTAGAGGGGTCTATCAAGGTTTCTGACTTTTATAAAAACAAATGAGGTGACAAAAACTAGACGGCCGAAACATATTTAACTCTTAACGCAACAATTAATGGGGCTTTACAAAAAAAGATAAACCAACAGAAACTGTAACAAATGTTGAAAAAACAAGTTTTTAAAAAATTAACACCAAACTACAGATATACACAACTGGTTACAACGGATGTTAAAATGCCGAAATGAATTAGGAATATAACTTATTTTAACTTAATTGTGGTGTCAATATGATGTTTTGCCAAATGTGAAATTTTTCCAGTTTTACTCTTAAATTTAAGCTTTACAGTCTCTGTGGCATTGTGAAAAAACAGTCATGAAACAGCAGAGATATGAGTCTACATATGGATTGACTTTTTCATTTAAGCGTCTGTGAGGAACTTCTTGTTTGTATCAACTTTGGCACCCCCCTGTGGACAAAACAGTACTTGCTTATTCAGTCAGACAAATATGAAGAATAAAAAAAGTAATTCTACGGACTTTTGACACTCAAGTTTTGTGAGTATTTTGGTTGGAAATTGTAAAAACAGAGCTGTTTCTGCGGTTGCTTATTTGACACCTACCCCTCTCGCAGCAATATGAGGTATAAAAAATAATACAACATCTTGAAAAATTTAGAAAAATCTTCAATCTTTTTGCTGATTGTCTTGTTTGATTTTGGATTTCATGAAATTACATCAATATGAATTTCAGTGTACTTCATAAAGGTAAGAAAAATCTCCTCATAGAAGCTTTAAGTTAGCTCTTTGCCTCATCAAAAAGTAAAAATAACATGTAGGCTGCATAAAGTCACTAGTTTTATGTAGCATTATTTTCTTTGTATTTGAAACTGTTTCTCTGACCATCTTCTTTTTCTAGTCCCCTCAGGTGTGAAGACTTAATGAAATTTTATTCTGCCACTCTGTTGTGTTCAGTTTGAAAGCTGAAAGATCATAGGATACTGTATCTCTTGGATACTTCAGTGGCAGTAGTCAAATTGGTCAAGAAAAGAGGGAAAGTAAATACGATTCATTCAAGTGTTTGTGAACAAATCTGTAATGCTATCCTGGAAAAAGGTAGATATCAGATAGCAGAAATCATCGGTGTATTTTGGAAAACAAAGTAAAGATGATTCACCTGTAAATAACTTAAGTTCACTGACTTTAGGAAGTACATCTGAGAGGCCTCTGTGTTTGGATTAAGGACCTACAGATCTCTTTTTTAATTGTGGACATTGAATACAGCCCCTCTTTTTTAATTCTTTATTTTAAATTTTATATTTTTATCTTCATTTGTAAATAGAAAAAAATAACAACTGATATTTTTTTGCAGATAATAATAATAATAATGCATCAGATTTCATATAGCGCTTTATCAGAGACCCTCAAAGCGCTATACATTGGATACATCATTCATTCGCTCACACAGTCACACTTTGGTGGTGGTGGAAACGTGGCCAACTCTGCATGTGTGTTCCTCTTCAATTGTAAATACTGGCTAATCCTCAATATGCAGCAAAACTGTACTCAAAAAACAAAAGCATTTTTAAGACTGGCTGCAATTCTGTATTTACAGCCTTTCACAGATGAGATTGGGTTGGGGTCCTGGTAGGAAAGTTAATTCTGCAGTGTAAAGTCAAGGAGGTTCTCTCTTTACCTTCAAAAAAATCACATCCAGGGTTAGTCTTTACATCTTTTGTATAAGCAGGTAAACAGCTCTAATTTCATAAGAGTTAAGCTGTTGTATAAGATGTGGATAACAACACAATTTGATCGTCCCAAATAAATTTAGGGGTACAATTCATTGAAAACTGCAAAAAAAATCAAATGGTAAAATGAATGCATATTTTGAATTTGATTCCAGAAACATCTCCTGTTTGGAAAAGAACAACAAAACACTGAAAAGGTTGTGTAGGGTTTAAAAACAATAACTAATCATCCACAGATGCTGGTCACAATTGTACCATGTAAGGCAGAAAACATACACAAACATCATCCAGAGGTTCCTGCAGCAACAAATGAAAAATTGATGAAGACGGAAACAAATACTGGGGATAGTTTATTCTGAAAACTACTGATCAATTTAGAAACAAAGAGTTCACCTGACAAAATTTAACAAACTGAGTAGTGTTTCTTCACTTATTTTGATTTTTTAAATCTGTCCACTTGTCTGCCAGTGTCCTCTGTAGATCAGTAGATGGCACTAAGTGATCAGCGTAAAACCACTTCAGCGGTTTCACCTTCACCCCAGGAAGTTGAATATGCATGTTGAGTTTTGCCTATTTTCATAAGAGTGAATTCAGAGTGAGAACATAACGTTAGAGGGAAAACATTTAATATAAAAGGAAGGAGGGAACAACTAAACTCTCCTTAGGCTCTGAGGACACCGTTCTTGTGTATCTTTAATCAAACACTTATCACAAATGACCAGAAGGTGGCAGCATTCCACCACTATTCCATTAGACTTGTTTTCTCTCTCCTCATCACTCTCCAGATGCAGTTGTCCTGTTTTTATTTGTCGGATTTCCAAACAGCAAATAATAACAGCAGCAAAAATAAAAACAGGAGAATAGGACAATCGCCATTACCTCGCGAGAAATATGTCTTATAAATCCGCTTCAACTAAAATTATACTTTTTATTTGATTTATTTAATATAAATCAAATTATTGCTTTTTTTATCACGAAAGCAAGGCCGAGTTTGGATATTTTGGGGGAGATATCACCGATGCAGAATATCCTAATGTGAAAATAAAGACGTTTATAAAACCTGATAGTTTTGTTTTAGGTGAGGAATAAAGAAGTGGAGTGTCTCACCTCACCAGTCGATAAAAAGAGGCTTTATTTACATATATTTAAATAGACACATGGAGCATGTTAACACACGCTTTAAGCTGAGTTTCTTTAATTTAGGGGGAAAATTAAAACCTCTTAAACTAGATTTTAGTATGATTGCTCATTAATGGTGTAAATTACGTAAAATAACATCATGAATGTTTACTTACAGAATAAGAGAAGATAAAACCTAAAATAATCGGGTCTTTCACATGGTTTTAAACTTGTCCTCTTTCTTTCTTATCTACTTTTGATGATAAAAAAATGGTCATTTATTTATTGACCAGGAACATCTGAGCGCTTTGAGGGAAAAAAGGAAAAGGAAAGAAAAAACGAGGCAGAATAAAGCGAAAGCGATCAACTCCTGCTCAAAGTAGGCTGTGACTGACTTCGGATCTGGAGATAAATGTAGGATAAATAACGCTGGAGAGCTTTCACACAAGAGGTAAGAAAATCCTGACAGCCAAACACTGTCTTTATATCATCCTTTATTTCTCATCGTGGATATCATGTACACTTATTAATTTATGTGAAGGAATTTAGACATTTCGGTACCAAAATGTACACATTAAAATACATCCTGCATACATATCTCGACATTATTAAGCTGTAGGAGTATTTGCAATTTTACTACAACGTACTACAGTTCCGTTTGTTTTACCCTGTCTGATTCTGTGCTCGAGTGTGTTTTAATATATTTATAAAGGTTTATTTGGAATTTAGGATTTAAATATGTCTCAACAAGTGATGCTGGGAGTCCAGTTTATGTCCTGTTTTAAAGATGTTGAAGCTTTTATGATCATTTTTTTATTTTCTGGTGATAATATTTAGCTTTAAAAGTTGCACAAATGCCATTTTTTTATTTTTCCATCGGTGTGTTTTTCTCTGCTTTTATTTGAAAAAGAGTGATTGCGTATTTCCTGTATGTGAAGCACTTTCTAACTCAAACAAAAGAGGAAAACACCAATATGAAAAACAGCGTTTGGTTTCCACGCCGTTGAGTTGAATGGTTGGTTGGTAGAAAACCCCTTAAACTGAGCTGGTATAGCCTATGGAAACACCACAGGAACAGTGCCTGAAAATGTATATCGCTTTTTGATTCCTCCCTCTTTCTTATATTTGCAACAAAAGGGACTTGTGTGTGATCTTCCTCAAACACTCACAACTTTCTCTGATAGTGTTTCAGGGCGCACTTGCCTTTCTCGGTCAGAGAGGAACCGTCCCGTTAGTGGAAGGTTACGGTTCAATCCCCTCGACTACAACAATGCGTGACAAACGTCGTACAACAAGGAGCTGAATACTCAACAGTCAACAACTATTGTTAAGGAAATACGGCACCGTGAAAAAGGGGAACAAACTTTTACAAAAAAAAAAAAAAAAGAAAAAAAAATACTTTTGTTTGCAGGTGGCCCTGACGTCACACGGGGTCGCAGTACGCCCAAAAATAACAACACACCTCCGCGCACAAGCAAGTGCCTCCCCCGGGGGGGTTTCTAGTCCCAAATTGCTGGGATACAGCTTGATGTGTGTGTGTGTTTGACTCGTAACGAAAGAAAAAAACAAGCCGCGTCTTCCTCGCATTGCGCGTCATTCAAACAGGACTCGGTGTACTGCTTTTCCCTCTGTTGCATTAGTAATAACAGCGGCGTTGACTGGAGACAGCAGGAGAGAGAGTGTGTGTGTGTTTCTCCGACAGCAGTGCCCAGCGGAGGAATATTGAGCTTTTTATTTACTCTGCAGCTTGTTGTTCATTTTCTCTACGTTATGGTGAACTTGGACAGTCACGTGCGAAGATCTCTGCGAGTGTAGAGGACGGCGACTTCTCACCTGGTGTGTCCTCTTTGACTTTACCGTGAGGGGGAAATATACCTGCGGTTTTTTTGTGGTAAGTTTTTCTGCTCAAGAGCTTATTTCTCTCCGCACTCTGTGACTTTTTTACTGCTCTGCCCACCGCACTTGAAATAGGAAGTGGTCCGCTGGCCACAAGTTTGTCCCGTCTTATCTCTTCGCTTTGCATTTTGATTTGCAGCATTTTATTTACACGTATAGCGCGTGCACTTCCTGTATCTTTTAATGAGCGTGCAGCTGGGAACATATTTCACCTTGCACGGTGCTCGGCTTTTTCACGTTAGGACCTTCAGACAGCGTTGGCCACTCTTTGCCTGTTGACTTTTCAAAAGGCGATTTATGTTCCGTGTCTGCCTTTTATTTAACCTTTTGAACAAGTTCTTTTTAATATACGGCGTGCCAATTATACTTCACAAACAGTTTTCACTTTCAAGACTGAGTGATAGTGACAGAAGTCATAAAGTCATTTCCAACCACAATCTGCGCAGAAAAGTGCTGAATTTTAAAAAAGATAGTTCCAGGGAGATTTAATCTGAAAAGATTATTTTGATGCTTCTAAAAACTTTTAACGCGACTTAATATTGATATCTAAGGTATTTTTAAAGTAGCCTAATTTAGTGTTTGCTTCAAAATTATAGGTATTGCAATATTTTAAGAATAAATAAATAAGTAAAAAGGGAATTAATCACGTTATATTACATAAAATGTTTACATTTTTTTGTAATGGACAAAAAGGGCACTTAGACAAATTCATAAAATCTTAAAGACATGCTGTTTTCATTCATGATACATATTTTTAAAAAAGCATTTTCTCATCTAGGTTATATATATATTTTTGTAAAATACAAAAGTCACCCTATAAAAGTACAATGATATAAGATTAAAAGCTTTCACTGTAGAAATATTATCAATGCTTCATCTGCATGATCAATATCTACATGATTGCTATGAATGATCATCAGCATTCAACACCTTACCGTGCTGGCTTGCTCCATTTTTATATTCCACCTTTTTTCCTTGTCCAGAAACAAAGAAGGACGTTGTAGCAAATCAGATTTCTGCATAATTAACCTCAAATCTTAGAATGAAAAAGTAAACTCTGAGAGCTCATATATAAGCTTGCTGACTTCACAGCCTGCGTCCTCTCTCTATCATAATGGCCCTAAAAATCAATACAGGTCTCTTTTTTTGTGTGGTAGAAAGGCTAACAGGGCAGTGAGAGCAGCTGAACTCTCCAGGCCTGTCCTCTGATCAGCTTTCACCCCTGGATTAGGTGCGTGGACCCTCCTTGTTGGAGCCGCAGGGTGCACAGGTGTTCCCTCCTCAGTTATGCAGGTGTGGGCCAGTTCCCCCCTCACTCAGCAGCCCTCACTCTTCAAAGGCCACGGCGGCAATAAATGCCCCTTGTGAAATATGTCAGCAATGGTGCACAATCAGCCCCTTTGTTGAGTGCCCCTGTAATTATTTCTCTGAGCATGTTTAAAACTGTCCATGCCTTTTTTTTTTTTGTTTACTTTTGTGGCTGGGTCTCGGGTTGTTTTATCTTGTACAACAGGATGTGATTTTTTCATTCTTGCCATTAGTCTCCCTGTAAGACTGACCGCTGTTGGGAGCAGTGCACTTATTACCCCGGCTCTCCCCTCTCTGCGTCCATTTTTGATTGCTGCATTTATCATCGGGCGGTCGTGCTCTACATTATGGTAATAGGAAAATGAATGTCCTCCACAGGATTAATGTGTATACCCTGTCATACGTTTCAATCATTTATCAAAATTAAGATTCAGCTTTCAGCTCAATGAACGCAGGTTGATGCATGATTTTTATCTCAGATATGGAAATTGTTGCTGCCGGATGAGCTGAAGTAGGAAATGCTTTGCAATTTAATTGTAGCTTTGTGAGTCATGTGAAGAAAGTTTGTGTGCAGAAACTGAACAAATTTACAATTCAGGTTTGGTGCAAAATGACTCAGTGCAAATGAAGAAGAAAGGTCAGAGTGTGATTTCTCTTTTTTTCTAAACACAGATTACATCAATTCTTAGGCACTGAAACACTTTTGGATCAGCTTTTGAATAGCACTATCGCCCATCCCCCAACACCTCTGTAATGAAACAGACTGCTCGCTCAACCCTTGAGGTGTTGCTGCTTTTAAGGGGGAAAAATGGGTAAGAGAATCAAGGGAGTGGTGCATGAGCTTCACTTTTTCTTAACACCATGCAGAGTTATTCACTGTAACCCAGAAAGTGTGTTTTCATACACAGCTTACAAGGACCTGCAACAAAGCATAAATGCAATTAAATGGCAAATGTGCAGGTTTTATCCCCTGTAACTTCATAGAAATGTTTCCATGACAACCTCCATGCAAGTTAAAGCAACCATAAGTGATCAAGTCCCCCCCCACCCACCCCCTGCTCCTCCCTCCCCTGCAAGACTGGAATTTGTGTTGACAGTTTTGGCCTTTAATGGCACTTTTGTGCCGCTCCAAAGTATTTGTTTACCAGGATCATATGCTGCAAGCTGTCAGACTCGTACAGATTGACTCCTTAAGATAAAAGAGTGTATTACATGTGCTTAAGAGGCCACCCCCTTTTGCACTGTAATTATCCACATCACAGTAATGATGTTTTGTGTGCCACAGTTACTAAGAGTCTTGAGACAGCTCAGACTTTTTTAGTTACGCTCTGGGTCACTTCTTAAGCCCGGCTCTGTAATGGTGTGAGGGAGAAAACGTTGTGACTCCTTGGCCGGAGAAAAGCAGTGCAGGGTGGGGTCAGGGGATGAGGATTAGAAAGCAGATTGCAGTCAGTAACTCACTTTGTTTTATCTGAGTTCATCGCCACATGTGGAATTAGTTTATTTTATGTTTGCGGAGGTTTCATGTTTTCCTCACCAAGTATGTGTTTATATTTTTACTATGACCAAAACAATCAGAGGTCAAAATGTCTCGCAAAGATTGTTTTGCAAATATCAAATCTTACGTCACCCCCTTTTTTCCATCAAAGGACTGTAAAGCCATAAACAAATGACCAAAGTGTGTAGCTTTTGGCTTGTGCATTGTAACCCTTGTAGTGTGTCATATCCTGAAATGGAAAGAGACATGCATGCTTTGTAAAACAAACTTTTGGTTTGTTTGCACAGCATTTCTTTAAAGCTACATGGAGTATTGTAATTTATGCTTTTGTAAAGGTTTAGGGTCCTGACAGCGATCCCTGTGGTCTCCCGTTCAGCTGACACTTTTCACTTGGCCTGTAAATTTAGCTGCCCTGTCAATGTGTTTTTTCCTATAAACTGTGTACTCATTTGAATCACAGAGCACCAACAGCAGCCACAGATCTTGCTTGTGTGTTTTCTTTTCCACCCTCAGATTTTTCCCTCCCCCTTCCTTGTTGAGTTAACAATTGCATGTTTACTCGCTGGTCACTGTGGTGTGAAGGCATGACAGCTTTTATTCGAGTCACGCTTAGATGGACAGTGTCCTGGTGTGAAAAAATGTGTTGGTTTTGGGGGGTTTTGCCCTGAATTAAAGAGAGAGGGTCACTCGTGGTAAAAGGCAAGGTCACTGCTGCTCTGACTGCATCCAGCCAGCCATCAGCCTGTCATTTCGTAAACAGGCAAACACGATGAGAGGCAGCAGTGTGGCTAACGGTGGAAGCTAACTCAGCCATTGTTTAAGAGGCCTTGAAAGAAGAATTTCAGGCATAATTTAGCAAACAAAACACCGCTGAAGTATCAGTGATTTAGGTGTGCACAACAATCTGGATAAAATAAAGAGATCCAGCTGATTCTTGACTGATTTCCTTTTTGATTAATCGATTTATCAGTTTGAAAACTGTTAATCATCAAATTCAAATTCTGAAAACATTAAATATTTGGGTGTATTGACTAAATCCCTAAATACATTTAACAATAATCAATTCCCTTGGTGATCAATTGATCTTTAACTGATCAATCGATTTATCATTTAAGATTTGAAAAGACAATTTCTGTGAAGCATTTCTTAAAATTGAAACCAGATATTCAGCTGTTGATTAATTGATATTTAACAGATTAATCAATTAATCTTTACAGATTTGAAAAGGAAGTTTCTGTTTACTGTCAAATAACTGGTCAGTGTTTAAAATTAGTAGCATGTGGTTAAATAGATTCAAAATGTTTGGCAACTAATTGATTTTCTACAGATCAATCGATTGATCGTTACAGATTTGAAAAAGAAAGTTTCTGTTTAGTATGAAAAACTGTTCAGCATCTCCAAATTGACGTAAAATTGGTAAAATAATGTTTGAATGTTTGTCTGGTTTTGATGGTCAACCTCCAGAAAAGTTTGCATGAGTTTTATTACCAACGTTAACGGTTACTGTGTCCACTCCACCTCACATCTCCAAGTCCTTTTTCTCCTCACACAGAGAAATGCACACAGAAAATGTTTGTTTCAAACATGTTGTGAGAGAAAAAAAAAGAAAAAAACACATGAGGAGGGGGGTTCATGACAGTAACAGTTTTTGACAGGCACATTAGGCTGCAGAAAGAGCATCCAGCTCGGGGCTGAGGGCATATGGTGCTGCCTTCTGCCGGCGTAGCTCTAGACCAAGTTACAACACTCGCGCAGGGTCACGACTGTCTCAGGTTTGTTCCTTCTGTCTCACTCGTCTAAATAAAAACAGGAGGCAAAATGGAAGTGGGGGGTTGGGTGGTGGCGGGCAGGGGTGTCGTACAGTCGCTGTGCTTCTCAGTGAAGGACAAAACAAATGTTGCCAGTGGAGCCCTTTGGGTCAGGATGTAATTTGGTCAAAATGTTTAGGGGAGACATTTGACATTTGCAGAAATGTCTCAATTTAGGTTTGTTTTTCACAGGAACACACTATTATTGTTTTTGTTTCTTGCGTTAGCTTGAAAACCTAATGTCAGTTTTCCAGTTAAAAGCAAGTGCAGTCCAGTGATCTTATCCACTTTCACATCTGAACACCCAGCTTGTGCTCCTTGAAGGCAACCCCTAATCCCACTCTAAACAATGACCTACGTTTTCACCACATTGGCTCTGTTCGGTTTTCTCCTCTGTAATGTGGAGAGGATGGACTCGGATAATGTGCGGGATGACGCAGGGCTCTGGTCTGAAGACAGCGGATCGGTAGGAGGGTAATTACAGGCTACTGTGCGGCTCTCTGGATTTTCCCTGGATCACAACTCGAGGCCTCCGAGCTCAGCCTCCGAAGCTGCTCCCTGAGAACGAAATAAAACGGCCACAACATATGG